TAAATATCATCGGCAAACGCCAATAGTTGTACACTCTTGTAAAAGATTGTACCTCTCGAGCGAAGTCGATCAGCCTCAGCCCGTTTTGGGATGTTTCGTCGTGGAGGCTAATTTTTCCGACAGTTGAGCCGAAGATATGTTCTTTGTCCACCCTGGTCTTGATGTCACCTAGCACAATTTTGACCTCGTGGACATCAACCAGCTGGGCAGCAGCACCTTCCCAAATAAGAGACCTGAAATCCCACTTGCATGCCCTCAAATTACGATCCTTAATCATTTGCAGGGGTCGTCCAATAGAGAGGTCTCTCATCCGAAGCATATATTGCCTTTTCATTGGAGTTTGTTTTTCAAGTGGTGGGCACCAGGCCCTAAGCCCGTATGGGAGTCGCCTTCTCACTTTAGCTCGCCTCCAAACGGATGTTTATTGGCTACCCAGAGTCGTGAGCTGCTTCACACATAATGCTCGATGGGACCTTATTTGGGATGTTAAGGAGGCTTATCCCACAGTAGATAGCGCAGACTGTGACTGTGTGTGTGAAGTATCTGTAAATTAACACGTTGGACCCTTGTGGTAAGATCAGACACAAAAAATTTAGGGACTAATTCCAATATTTCCCTTTTATCTAAGTGTTTTTTTCTCGAATAAATCTCGATTTCAAGACCAAGTCTATCTGATATACGTTCGAGTTCTAGGAAAGCGAATGCAACCCGCGGCAATATGCATCCCAAAACGATTCCATTTCGTCAATGGTTGTTTCAACATAACACCTGCTTTCGCAAATTCGTATCTATTGGTGCAATTAACAGTGTTGTCAGTGTTGTTGTAAATCAAAGTAATTGAAGCGAATTGACCACAATTTTGCAACTTTCAAAAGGCATATCTACAATTGGTTGGCTAAACAAATAATACTAACCGCTTCTATACTTCCTATATTTTTCGTCACCCAACTCAGTAAGCACAGCACTTAATATCTGCTTCTTCCACCACCACCATCATCCCATCTGTACTGTCCCTTGGCACACAAATTTTGTCCCTTCTTCATTGTCACTGCCGAAATTACATCTTCTATAAACAAATGTGTATCAGTCGGCAGGACCTTTTTCGAGCAATTGATGCACTTGACATGGCTAAAAGATAAATATTTTGCGTGAATCACTTCAACTAATTTGAAACATAAGTAAAAAGGGGGAGAGTACTGGCCACTTTATTCAGTACAGCTGGAGGGCAAGTCACAGGATAAACACCGGTAAGGAAAAAATACAAAATTCCTTCAATAAAGGCGAAAACGGCGGAAAGACGGCCAGTGTGGCCAAGTGGTTGGCACTGCGTACTGCTATTCGGAAGGCTCGGGTTCAAATCCTGGTGTCGTAATAACATCCAAAAAGTTACAGAAAATTAATTTAAATAAAAAATTTAACTAAATTTTCTTATTTTGGTCGCCCCTCAACGGCTTTGTACAAACTGTAGGCAAACCCACAAATTGGAGGAAGAGCTCGGCCAAAAACCGCTTCAACGGTTACAAATGGTCTGGTTTCGTAAATTTATTGACCGAATTGAGATTGGCAAGGAATCATTCAATAAGAGGTGATTTCGGTACTGTCAGCAGCGAATAAGCGTCCAGAAGCGTCCAGCTTTGGCCTGTTTTCAAACAAATTTCTGAAAACTTTCGGTAAGCACTCTTCGGTGTACCATTTTCTTTTACCGTCTGACCCTTTTCCAGTGAAATAGCAGCTACGATTTCAGATCGGGTGAAGAAAACTGACATCATTACTTTTGCTGATGATTTTTGTTGCTTAATTTTTACTGCTGGGTTTGCTCCAGTTGGGTTCCATATCATAGACTGGTGTTTGATTTCTGGATCGTACTTATAGAACCAAGTCTCGTCACTAGTAATGAGTTTACTAAAGTTGCTAGATTGACCATTTTAAATTTGCTCTGGAAAAATTGAGCAAAATGGAATCGAGCTTCCTTTGGGGCCTCATTTACACATCGAGCAGAGTTCTTCGTGTATCCTAGATGATTACTTAATAGTCGCGATACAGGCATTCAAGCCCAATTCATAAGCAATCATTTCTTGTGTCAATCGTGGGTCTTCGTTAATTGTGGACTTCACCAGAGCTACAGTGACGTCATCAGTGGTAGAATTATAAATCCATATACAATACAATTTGGCATTCACTGAATATTTTTATTGGCTGTAAATTACGGCGAAACCCGAAGAGAATCACATGGCGAATTTCTGTTTGCGTTGGTGGTGGAATTTCGTCTGACCTATCCTCACCTATCCGATTACAAAAGATTTGGTATTTTTAAATTAAAAAAAAAACAAATTGAAAGTCACAAACTGACCAAACTTTTGTTAATCCTCTCGTATTATGGTAAATAAAGCTTTCAATTGAATGCAAAAATAGATGGATTACTTTTTATTAAACCAGTATACAATATTTCACAGCGCCTAGACATTTGAAAATTGGTGCTTTGTGAATGCTGAAGCAATTCTCGGCCGTACTTAGAATACATTTTCCCATACATGCTTATGTAAGTACTTACGAATCAATATTAAAATATAATTGCCGTTCTGGCCTTCATCACAGAATCTGGTGATTTCATTACAAATACTCGTGGGCAAACGCTTTCAACAGAATGAAAATCAATGTTTCATTTATTCATCATTCAACACCTGTCCCTATGCAAACACCAAAGATATACACACTCACATGTACGAGAGTATCGATCCACTTGAGACGCATCGTGCGAGGGTCTGGACGCGTTTGCACAACGTAGCATTCTTACAACGTGTCGAGCAAAGAAGAACAAGAAAAAGTATAAGAGAGGCTAAGGCTAAAACAAGAAGTTCAATATTAAAACAAGTTGTTACAAGAAAATTAAATCAGCTTACAAAATGTATGTATGCGTGAGTATAGATATGTATTTGTAATTTAAGTCAGAGACACTTGTAGTGTATATGTGCACAAACTATATATAAACACATGCACATACATACTTTAATGCAAAAGTTTGCAAATTTAGTTACATAGCCCACCATTTTGACCCTATAAAAAGCCCTACTCAAAACTAGTATCGACTGTGTGATGACATAAATAGACAGGTATGAGATGTTTTATCCATTTATTTTAACCCAAAGAAGTTGAGAGTTGCCCAACATTCAGTAATTGTCGTCTGATACTTTACAAGAGCTTGCATAGAAGAACTTAAAGGATTTTCTATCTGCCATCGACATTAGAGTTCTCACTTAAAAAACTCGAGATATGTATACGGGTATTTATTTTAATTCACTCAACAGTTAGTTCAACACCCAGAGTGCTCAATACACCTCAGTGTCGCAAGATTGAATGAATTTTAGGATTTGGCTGTTATTGGTTAAATTAATAGCCCATCCTAATTAGATTTCCGGTTTGCACGAGAATGGAGGCTAAGAAAAATATGTCCATAAACTCCTTTCAAACATCACAAAATATTCCGATTTATATACTCGATACTATTGTATTTGGTGTAGTATAACTAGATATTTTCTCTACGAAAGGAAGGACCTACGGATCTATAGTTTATTCTAACCCGCATAGACCGGCCAATAAATTTTATAAGCGGAATTATCTTTCACTACCAAAGACGACCGCATTTTTTATTGTTGGTTTAGCCGGGTTTTATCCGGCGAAGGGTTGTCATCTTTACAACTTATTCAATGACCGTAGAGGGTTGAAGCTGATGGTTTGGCGAACAGCATAGCCTGGCGACATATGCTCCCGACTTTGTTAATTTTAAAAAGCTAACTGACCCGGCTTAACGAAATCCGCCGAGAACGCCTTCAGTGCTCTCCCCTCTCTAACTGACGTCGATCAGTGAACTTTTATTCCACAGGATTGTAGTTACCGCTGCCATCCCGTAAAAATTTTCGGACAGAAGCGGCTGTACCAGGATCAAGAGGTGACTTCATTCGGTCAGGAGACTCGGCGGCAAGCACTTAATATCCTGAAAACTTGCTCTGGGGGAAAGTCAAATTACTGTCAAACCTAACGAGACGCGATGATCGATCATTCGGCGACCGATCCTTTTCCGGCCCGAAGACTTTTTGCACTGCACCCATCAGGTTGACAAAATGAAGCGACAAATTACCAGTGCGACACCTCATTTCTAAAGGGAAGAATAATCATGCTGCTGCTTAAATATCTAGGACCAGCGGGAGCAGATTTTCTCACCAAGAGACTTTCTTACCAAGGTCCTTAACTTTTTTTGGCCATCCTAAAAATACCCGATATGTCGAAAATGGGTAGAGTGGTCCCACTACTCAAACTGGGAAAACGAGTCACCAAAGTGAAGTCCTATCAGCCGATATATCTGCTCCCTACATTAGCAAAGCCTCTGAAGGCCTTGCTGCTCCCGGCCTTCACACACCATCTGAGTCCAACACACATCAGCATGGCTTCCGCAGAGTACAAAGTTCCACAACAGCTCTTTACACTGGTTGCACTGGACCTGTCCAAAGCTCTTGAAATGGTCAATCATTTGATGCTTCTATCGGACATTGAGGAATCTTTATTACCGCCGGGGTTGAAGAGGTGGATTTTGGTCTACCTCAGTTGTCGCCAACCGTCGGTAGAGTTTCGAGGCTAATCATCGAAAATGTTTAAAACCCGCTGGACAGGACGACGTACTCAGGTCTGGATATTGTATCAGGTTAAACTCCAACTTATCCAGAGTCGAGCCCGATATACCTAAAGTATGTCCTGCATGGAACGAGTACTCGCAAGACACTAACCACCTCCTCCAGATTGGATAATCATGTCAGGCAAATAGATCTGGTAGTAGATAGTTAACGCCGAAGCGACCTACAGTTTAAACTAACCCGCCCCCGAACAACTGATAATTTTTTAAGTGGAGTTATTTTATTTCACTTGGCATTCCCTGCAGAGGTGCGACCGCAATTAGATAAAATAAACTTAATTTTTTATTTGAGGAATAAACATTTTACTACGCTTACCTTCAGCTGATGGTTCCGTCTCATCAAAAATCTCTTCACATATAACGGAGGTGGAAGGCGATGCAATGCCTGTATTTCCCGATGTCGATGTTGTCGATGTGGATGCTGATGCCGATCCTGACGCCGACACCGATGTTGAAGCCGCCGATGTTGAGGTCGCCATTGCTCTATATTACATATGTTTTATTTTACTTTTATTTTTTCCTTGTAAACGACAGAACTCTCTAAAAGCTTAACGAGTAGCAATAAGCAACGCCAATCGATTTTCACTTTATTATTATAATTTTTTTTTTAATTTTTTCTTTCTTCCTTTGCTGCAAACATGCACTTTCCCAGTTAAAAAAGTGAAAATTTTGCACAATATACTGCGTACATTCAAGCAGTTCGATGCTACATACCAAGTGCATGTGCACGAACAAGAATATAATCGTTGAGATGGTTTCGAGAATAGATTTCGTGCAATTTTCGCACTTCACTTCACGCGTTTACATTCCTTCGTTTCCTTTGACTTCGCCTTTAGAGTTGCCAGCGTGTGTGTGTGTGTGTGTGTGTGTGTATGTATTGGAATTCAGGAGACGAACAACGAACAAGGAAGAACAATGCACCGCTGACCTAAAAAGGGGGGCACAATGGGCGGTTACGAAATATCGTTGCCGATGCTGTACATACATATATACCAACTCATTTTTAATATAATACATATATAACATATGTACATATACATATAAATACATATATATACATAAGTATAAGTATGTATATGGGTAGTTCGCTTTGTTTTGTTATTGTCAACGTTGTTGCTCGGTCGGCTTTACCAAAATTTTGTTGCGTTTGGAAAAGCTGGGGTAACTGCTATACACCCCAAATAACAACAAAACCACACGTAATATTCACAATGCATATATTAGATACAGAATTTCGCCTACGCTTGACATTAATTTTCTTATTAGTTTAACTTTAATTTTAATTCAAAAAAAAAAATGTCTGAAATTTTTATGAAACTATTTTTGAATAACTTGAAATCAATGTGGTTACCCACACCGATAAAGTAAAGGTTTCCAATTAAACGTAAGCATTTAACGGTGTACAAATATGGGCTAAAAGCAATTATTGATTTTTCCGGACAAACAGTTAACACTTAAATTTTAATTTTCTTAAAGCACATCCAAGTATTTGTAAGAAGTTTTGTAAATATTTCAAATATCGTTTTCAAACACTGCAGGAAATTTTATTTAAAAACTCATTATTACTTTATTAATTCCTGTTTGCAAATTTCATTACCTAAAGTTATGCCTCGGACAATTTCTGGTAAGCGCGACTTTTCTTTCAAACTTCTTTAACAATACTGATTTTTCGAAAATGTGCAATCATCGTTTTCAGCCGCTTTCACTCTTGTCAAAGTTGCCAACCAAGCCACTTTGCACATGTGTGTTTGTGTGTTTTATTTTCGAAAGTATCTTTTTGCCAAAAGCTTTGCGCATGACTCGCAGGGGGTTGTATTCGTTTCCTATCATATGGTTTGCTTTCCTTGCCTTTGCCTCTATTTTTGTTTTCATTCAGTTTTCATTCATATCGCTTTGGCTGGTACTTTAGTTAAAATTAAAACATATATATACATTTATATATATATATATATATATGTATGTGTATATGTATATACATATGTATGTGCCTGTGTAGGTCGGATATGTATTCATGTATATTTATGTTAACCGAATACAGCTGTGTCTACAGCGAAAACCTCTTGTTTTGAACTGATTTTGAGATGGTAAATTTATTACGGTACATATGGAACTCTACGAAATTTCCCTCATCACCGACGCTGACGGCTGCTGCGGTCACTTTTAATTTACTAAAGAAAGTCGCTCTGGTGTATCAGTCAACTAGAACTTCTTTTTCATTCATTGAACGTAGGTTAGGTCAGGTTAAATTGGTTGCCTCCTTAGGGAGTCCCACATAGACGATGCTACGCTCATAATTTTACCAGAAGTTTAGTATTCTTTTAGCAAATTGAAACAGGCGTCTCGCTACTTCAACCGCGCAGACTGAAGATCCTGCAGGTTATACTCGGCACGTGAGATCCTACCCATACTATGCACTGTCCTTATCCTTTCCTTGCATTTCCTGAATTGGTTGTCTTCAACCTTTCCAGAAGGCATGCACTGTCAATAACCAGCCTAGAAGCCTGGAGTCGACTTATTGTGGCTAGTAAAAGCTTGGGAAGCTTTGCGTTCTATATTCGGCAGCCTTTTGCTCGTTCGCCGAGCCTAATATATATATATAAAGTTGCCTCCGAACGACTGATGGTTGAATTTATTTCATGTCAAAATACACTTGGTGGGGTGGAATTAGAAAATTTAACTTAATTTTTTATTTAAATTAATTTTCTATGACTTTTGGATGTTAGTACGACACCAGGATTTGAGCACGAGCGTTCCGTATGGCTAAACGCAAAGCTAACCACTCGGCTACCATGGCCGAGCCTATTATACTGATGATATAAAAGTATTTATTGCGTATGTGGGACTAGTAATCTATGGCTGCTCTTGTTCAGAGAGTGCTCCCTCTTTCGATACCCGTATACCCTGATACCTAGTAAAAGTGGATTTTACTTTTCTATGCCCATATTTTGTTTGTCTCTTTCCAAATAGATATTGTATAATATATTCTCCTTTTAAGAGAGTCTACCCCTTGCTTGGGAATATAGTTAGGTAGTTTGAATGATCGTTTTATATCTGATTGGGTGCAGTAAACTTTAGTCGAATATCCCCGTACGTAAGTAAGATACACTTCATTCGGGACCATGCCCAGATAGTATAAGTTGTATTTGTCGCTGCGGAATCGCCATTAAGCAGTACTTCAGAAAACCAGCTGGGCCAAAAATGCCTCTTCACACACTCACTATAAGGTTATTCTCCAAGTATTTGTCTTCTCGGATGCCGATATTTTCTTCTGAGCTCTTGGAACGCTATTGCGGTCGATTCCTTCATTTTAGTCCACACCAACCTCGATTACAGCATGGTGTTCACAATATTGTCGGGTGTAATTATTTCGTTTATTAGCCGCTTTATGGTATATATTTCCACTACTATCTAGCCGGAGAAAAGAATATGCTCTGCGTTTTATTAAACACTAATGAAGAAGGATCATTCAGACCAGTCAACGTGACCGAATCTGTGGAGGTTTTATGTGAAACAGCCATGGACCGACAAAAACTGTGTAAGGTATTATTCGATCTTCTCTCAATCCAGGCTTGGATTTTTTTAACGCCGTTTCCAATTTCAATTGTCACTTTTAGAGACTTGCGATTGTCGGCCGTTAGATGTCTACTCCTAGCTTTTGTCTTTTGACATACTCTGCCGAGCTCGAAACCATTATATCCGATGGCTTATTGCCAGATATGATTCTTGACTCTTCTTGCAACATCACCCTATATTTTTATATAAAATATATTCTTTGCCGCAGAGATACCAGTAAACTCTTCTACTATGGCTAGGGCCAATTATATTCTCACCAGGGCCGCAGACGCTATAACTGTCTCACCGCATGCTTTTTCGATATGCGCCTTATAATGGAGTCTGTGGCTTTCAATATTCAGAATGAACTCTCTTTTTCCTGGTCGTACAGGACGACAGTTTAAGTTTTTTCCCCGGAAAGCTGTAATTTAGATGCTGTGAGCCATTCATTAACTATTGGTATTGTCTCATTGCAGATGTCTTTCTGACTAACGTAAAAGACCGAAATTGTTGTTTACTGATACACCCAGCGTCTGACTTCTCAGCAGAGCAAAACCTTTCCATCTCATCAGCGGAGATTTCATTGTGACAATTTCTAGGGACTCCCAATGTGCTACGTTGTGTACCGGGCAGATTGTTACATCCGCTGCCGAACTAGTATGAAAATACCAAGGTTTACTAAAGAAAAAATTAAAGTTGAGCAACTTTTTCTTCTTCTTACTTCAAATACTTTCAATGTGAGTAAACTCAAATAAATATATACATACATACATACATTTATCGATCATATCTATCAAAACAAAACGCAAAGGCGAAGAGAAGCAAAATTTGTATATAAATCAGCAGAAGGTGTTTTCCGGCAACCGCTGTAGCGGTTTTTGGCCGAGCTCCGTCTCCAATTTGTGATGTGCGTGTTGATGTTTTTTTTTTTTTTCAATATATGGAGGGACCTTTAGTTTATTCTGAGCAGCCTCCTAACGGGCGATGGTTTTTATGAGGAGTCATTATTTCATGTCAGAAATATACTCAATTAAAATATTTAACCTTTTTATTTAAATAAAATTTCTTTAATTTTTAGATGTTGGTCAGGTCAAGCCTCGAACGCTGACCATCCGAATGGTACGCAATGCTTACCAGTCAGCTTTCGTTGCCACATCGGCTATAACCTTTTTATAGGGCATGTATGCAATTTATATATAAGTATATATAATAATCCATATTCTGGCGAATTTGCCTAATACTGAGGCAGGAAGGAGAAGCCGATAACTGAACAACTACATATTTATCATATTATTTTTTTTTATATATCAGCAATCTGTAGCTATATAAGAGCGAAGCACGGACTGCTGAAAAATTCAGTAGAGTTAAATAGAACAAACTGATAAAACAGAAAATCGTTAAGATTGAGGATTTGATGGAAAAATCCCTAAAAAAGGAATTAGAAATACTAGGATTATCTATTACCGGCAATAAGGCGGAGCTACAATCTCGGCTGAGACAAGATACACACTTCAAGAGATAAAGATACAGGATAGCGACAAAACAATCGAAGCACGAAGCTCGATTCAAAAGGTGGCTTCAGTGTACATTTGGGGAATGGAGAGAGAGAGAGAGTTTGCTTAAAGATTGATCGGCTGGTCTATTTGCCTATGGGGAAAGCGTTGGAGAATACCTCGAAAAAGTGCGAGTGACATATGGGACATATTCACCAAGTGAAAGAATTATGGGAATCCAAGGCCAACATTTTCTGAAATATGTCTCGTAGGCTCAGACACAGAAAAGACCAGTGTACAAAGCAAAGCATGAAGAGGCGGAAAATTTTGATGCGATGAAGGAGATATTGGAAACGCCGAAGTTCAGATAAGAGCCAGGAAGTCGCTCGCGACTGTATAACGAGAAGGAATAATGTCCCGCAATCAGGAATAAGCAAGTAAGGAATAAAGCCTGGTGCTGTTTTTCAATCATAAACGAAGAAAAGGGTTGACTCCGTGATGGCAAAGTAATATGGAAGGTCTGTATAAAGTTATCAAACGGCACAACGGCTTAGTGTATTAAATTCAGACCGAGGAGCAAGAGGGAATTCTCACTGTTTGGAAGTGTGCAGCTCCATAATAGTGAAGCGCGCGCTACTGGGTAAACTCGGTAGTGAAAACATCGGTGTAGAGTAAAGCTGCGTGTAAAAATAGTAGAGTATTAGAGTTTTAAAATATATCGTTTTATTTGGTAAAGCAAATTGAGATTTATTAAGTAACAAATAAACTTTGATTGCGCTCTTAACAACTAAGATGTTGTACTAAAAATATTTCGAATTTTATTTAGTGGAGGTATTAGGGAAATCCGTGAGGTGTATTAGCGAAAATCCTCACAATATAAAGGATATGCAGATATATTCAAATACCACTTTGATGGAAAGTAAGTGAAGCTTTATATTCCTTGTAATGAATATATTGTAATATATTTCATTTCTTCTCGCGGTGAAAAATGCGTGTATTAGCTGAAGCTTCTACACCAGTTCTGTGTAACTATAGAATTCACCACCAAAATACAAACCGAAAATCCAATTATGCATTACTGAGAGGTGCTCTAAAGGACCCAACGGTATAACGGAACTTAGAATTATTGTTGTCGTTGTTGTTGTTTTAGTAAATGCAAAACTTTCCCAGAATAGCTTTTCGAGGAATATTGCAGGAGTGACAGTTTTTTGCCGGGTAAGAAATCGGGGTCGGTCCTTTTCGTGGAACTATTGCATTTTACTATGATACCCTAACCAGCAGAGGTCAGGTTGTTGTTGTTGTTTACCGCAAAATATTTCCCGATTTGGCTTTCGGGGAACGAGTCCATGATGAATCAAACAGCGAATATCGAAAGAAAAACAATTTACGGAATCTTTCTGGTCTTAATGTATGTGACGGTGATAAAACCTAATTGATGTGGTTGTACCCAGCCTGGATTGCTCTGAAGGTCATATTTTATTGCTAACTCATTGCTTATTTCAGAGATTTGCCATAACAGTAAATCTTGTCATCTGAAATAAAGGAATGCATGTTTTGGCGAATTCTGAATTGTCCCTGGGATTTGATTGCCTAATGCAGATGTCCTTGACAAAAATAAATAATTGAGCACGTTTACCTTACAACGGGTCTTAAGGTCAAGCAGGTGATCCTGGCTACGGATCTCCGAGAGAGAAAGCAGGCAACTTCTATATTAGAATGTATATGTAAAGGTTTTGCGGAGGATGTCAGCTCTACCTTCATCTCTAAATGCGTGATCTGTTTTATATATGGATCCTGATCCTGATAGCTTACACAGCAATGCTTCTACAGCAATCGCCTCGCAACTACTGTCTCCACGATTTTCTGCTGTCCTTTTATACGCACGTTAAGTGCAGTTTGCTTGCCGTTTTCTTAAAAAAAAAAAATAGAATTAACTGTGTTGGCATTAGTTTTGTTCAAAACTTTACTGGATTGTGTTCGTTGAGCCGACAAAAAACCAGTAAAAATTTTTAACGAGAGAACGCAAATTTGCTCTACGTTGACGCAATGTTATTGTGGGATGTCCCATACAAATTGTATAGCCATGAGGATTTTTGGGAGATCAGTAAATTGGAGAAATATTTGCAAATTCGAGCTGGGAAAAATTTGATCCTGTAAAAACTAACGAAGATGAAAGACAGCTGATTTGTGATCATATTGTTACGATTTTACTGAGTCAACCTCGATGATTTTCTGAATCTTATGGTACGATCTCTGGATTGTTAAATAAAAACTCGCCAACTTAATTTGCAGTTTCTTTCGTTATAAAGATATAATCTAATGTCCTTTATTTCCTCAGTAATTAACAATTCAATTATAATGCACTTTACTATTTACAATCACTAGCATCAACTTTAACAATTTACTTTACTTAAATGTAAACTCCAACGTGTTTACTTTCCGACTTTACTGATGTTCACGCCAACCAGTTCACTTTGTAACTAACTTAACTTGGCAGCTGAGTGTCCCCTTATATAGCAGTCGGCTGCTCGCAGACGAAAGCGTAGAAGCATCGAATTGTTCGCTATGGAAGGTTCTTGTTTTATCGTTTCTAGAACGTACTAGTTATCGGCTTCTCTCTTTCATCTGACATTCGCCTCGCATTTT